TGAGTTTCACAGTAAAGGATAACATTGTGTCATTTTGAACACAGTCCAGTGCATTAGTAACTGATTCTCTTCCTGTATCTATATCCCTCCCTCTGGTTTCATTATTTGCTTTTGTTGGACCAGAAATCAACTTATCTTCAGAGCAAGCGCATGTATCAGTGCAAACACCTCAACCACCCTGTGTCCGTCCGTCTCTGCTATCACTGTACATGCAGAAGGGAAGGAAGACAACATTAGTATTACAAGCTAAGTTTTCAGGAACAGCCTTGGGCATGTGGAATCTGGTAGAAGTAAGTGTAGAAGACTAAAGAGTTGGTCTAAAAAACATGAGTGATTGTTGTAGATTCCACAATGAAGTACTTTATAAAGGTACAGTATGGTTTCGGCGTAGTTCAACATACATCATAGAGCAGACACATACTGGACTTAAAGAAGCAAAGAGACTTGCTAAAGAGGCAAAAATACGGAACAAATGCTAAAAGGACAATAATAACGTACTGAAAAGGTCGTCGAAAAAACAAAATAGATGATATTAACGAGTTTTTCCAGAAGCAATACTGATTTTGCTGGTCTCCAGCTAAGGGGCATGAATAACAAATGCTCAGTGATCATTCATATAGAGTGCTGCAGGAATGACATGTTTGTAGGCCAACCCGGAAGTTAGTGTCACCCTGGTTCCCTTGGCAAAAAGCCAATGGGATTTTTACAGTGGCTTTTGGATCATTGCAGAAAATAAGGTCTGTGACAAACAAAAGCTTTTGATACTTACATGTTTTGTTCAGCACGATAATCTTAACAAATGAACAGCACCTTTATGATTTTTCAAGCCTAAATACAATCGCTAGATGTTAAAAGCTAATGTTAGGTTATAAATGAACTCAGTCACATGGCTTCATTGTCACCACCACCAAACTTCCAACCCATAGTTTGATTTGGTACACTTACCTCTTCTACAGAAGGCCTCTTACAAAACACAACAAGGCTGTCGAGGTGGACTGTTGAGTAGATTGGTTTTTGTGTTCGGCCTGACATCCCCAACTTCATTTAGTCCCTTGTTAGCTACTGGCCCTTCTGAAGCAATGGAAAGCTTAAAAAAATCACGACTGGGGTATTTATTGATGTATTTTATGTTGTAGAATAAAAGATAATACTGTCTTGAGTTTGTGTTAAGCACAGACCTTATTTCAGGCATCTTACCAAAAACCCTCAAAAAAGAAATAGTCTTTGGGACAAAGGAACTGGAAGTGCTAAAATGCTAAAGCTAATTTCCAGCAATACTTTATTGAGGCATATTTTAGGAAACACCTAAAGGCCCTTAGTGTATGCAAACCACAATCAGGGCTACAAAGTTTAAAAAAACAAAAAAAAAAACCCAAAAACTTCTGAATTCATAAATAAAATGAAGAGACAATATATGTGGAAATTAGTTCAATCCCTTCCTCATCATTCTATCTACACATATAGATATATAAATATAAAATAGTTATAAAGTTTCTAATTGAAAAATGACCAAATTACCTAAACAGCCTATTATGAAAATGTTGGCTGATGTTTTCAGCTTCATCAGCATTTCACCACTGTTGCAATAGTACCAGTACCTCAGAGTCAAGCGATTTCAGAGATGATGAGCTTTTTGCAGTGGAAAAGGCACCTGGCAAGGATGCCAGGTAGGTGCGTGCTTTTGGATGGTGAACTAGGAAGAGCTAATGAGATATGGGGGCTCACTGGAAGCAGGACATCTCTCATTCGGTCAGGATATACGTCTGGAAGGGAACTCAAGGAAGTCTGTCAGGAAGAAGGGACGTGGACTCCACTACTTGAACTTATGACCTGATAAGCAACAGAGATCTTGGAGGATGTACATTAATCAGTCCAACTGAATTGAATCAACCAGTCACATTGAGTCCTATAGTCATGGAAGATTTTCTGTTTTCATTTTATTGCAGTGTCAGCTGTCGATGATCAAAATTGGAATTCAAAGGGCATAATATTTAACCCACTTTATTAAAGGTTTGAATACATTATATGAAGCAATAAGGTTAAGAGATATTGGGAAACAGAAATGCTGTCAGTGGCATTCCATTGAGAATTTAAATTTCATGCAACGCTTCAGATGTCATTTCGAATGGCTACCTTTTTTTCAGGATCGCAATGTTTTTTGAAAACTCCCCACACGTTGCTGCCTCGTGAAACAAATGTTGTTAGTCTTTCACATCAAGCATTGCCATTCTTTTGACAACGTGTTCGGCCTTGACTACGCCTGGGGGTTGGTAATAGTAATTTCACATGACACACAGTGGGAGGTGTTGTTCTCTTAATTAATGAAGCTGTCACTGTCATGCGCATTAATCACAGCTCACCCCCTGACATCTGTCTCAAAGTGTCATGTCTGAGAACTAAACTGTGGCACTGACATGAGTCAAAACAACTAACCTCCTGTGAAGCAGCTGTTCATCAGTCACTGTCATAAGCTTAGAAAATATCGAATCACAACCCTGAACTCCTCAAACAACAAAGGATATAAGAACGACTTGACTCAAGAGGTAGAATGAACATGCAAGACGGCTTCACTTATAAATGTTCTCACCTCTGTCAATATCCACATTGTAGATACAGTTTGGAATGTTGCCATCATGTACTAACTCTCAGAATAAGACCTTTTAGCACCTAAATAATGTCAGTTTACTGTTTGTTTTTGTTTTCTAGCCATGCTAGCATTGTGTCAGTCGCTGCACCACTTCGGTCCAGTCCAGTCCTATTTTCTTTTTGTTTTCTGACCAAATATAAGCAAAACTTAACAAACCCCCTTTAGCATCAGCTGTACGTTGTGTTTAGTACTAGTTGGAAAGTCTAAGCATGCCAAAAGCCAAACCTGTCCTTTGTGTTGTCATTTTCATGACCTTCACCAGCATTTGTTTTTAGTATATTTGCTCTGAGCCTACATTGCTGCGACTTAACTGGATCTAATTATGTCTCACAGCAACTGTAAAATGTAACAACACAAATATCGAATATCTGTTGGACTCATGATTCACATGTCAGTGAATCACCACTCAGGATGTGTTTATTGCACTAATGTAAATAAAGTGCATTTACAGCATGTAGTACTTTTTCTACCTGAGCAGGGAACGGCACTTCTTATTCACACACATACAGTGATGGCGCAGGCTTACCTGTACTGTTTATTCAGTTTTTGTGGTTTTGGAAAGGTCTCGAAGACAAAAATTCTGCTGTGGCTTTAGGCTAGCTGGTGACACTCCCCCTACTCTACCTGTCTCACTGTGGCACATGCTGAGCCACTAAAATACAGAACAGATGCAATAACCCGTCTCTCCAGCTGTATCATTGCCATTTAAGAAGAAAATTGAGGAAAGATTAAAGAGTTGTCTAGTTTTTTTTTTTGTCATGACCTCACCTCTCTTGATCATGAAAAGAGAGGTGCATCTCCTAAACATAGAGAAGATGTTAAGCCAAGTCTGAAATAACTCCTGTGCCTCCAAAGACTTCCTTATGTTCATTTAAAGATCGCCCTTTGTCTTCTACTTTCTCTTTGTAGTTATCTTTCTTATTGTCCCTTTCTCATCCTCTCTTTCTTAATCTCCCTCACCCTCCCTCTTGCGCCACCTCACTGTCTTTATCTATATCCATTATGTATGAGTCACATTGAAAACTTTGTTTTTCTCCCTGGAAAATACCAAATGTTTTACAAAACAAGGGTGTGGTGATATCACTCCTAACGTTGTCAAGTCTCAACTGATGTTCTTTGCTAAACATGCTCCTTTGGCAACTTTCCTGCTCTCATTATCTTACTTTCTGTCTTTTCCTTTAACTGCGTCAGACACAGGCACACACACACACACCCCCATCATTTAAACAATGGTCAGCAACAGTCACTTTAAAAGGTCACGAAGAGAACAGCATTCTCAACTTTAAGTTTGTATAGGAGAGTGTGTGTGTGTGTGTGTGTGTGTGTGTGTGTGTGTGTGTGTGTGTGTGTGTGTGTGTGTGTATCCGTGGTGGTGGGGAAGGATAAAGATTCAAACAGATTATGACAAAAATAAATTGCTTGGCATTTAACGAGTTCATCTTAGCAGGAAAAAAAAAAAAACACATCAGTTGCTACAAACACCCGTAGATACAAAATAACATGATGGAGTCATATCACAGTTGTTTCTAACTTCATACAAATACTTAAAATACCCCCCACTTCCGAACACACACACACACACACACACACACACACACACACTTTGTACCAGATCCTCAAACAATGTAATTACTTTCGCACCCAAGGATTTTAAATAGCATTCAAGGTCATTCAACCAAAGCAGTTCATTTCTCTCTAACATCTCATTAGCTTTTTGTATCAACAGTCTGACCTTTGCTTGGTGACACTGTTTATTATCACATTACTGTCTTCAATGACAGAGCGAGGAGCAATAACACAGTATACTAAACTGTGAAACACTTCTGATGACAAGAATAAATATCATTCAGCAATGGACAGCTACTAGATTGTTTGCCTTTGACACGAAAAATAATTCGTGTTGATTGTGATGTGATGCGTTTTGGTGCTTCCTGTGCGTATGACAGGACTGACTAGTGCTCGTGCAGATTTTCGAACTTGACGTCTTTCTTACTGCATGAACACACTGACCGCTGCGCAGCTCAGAAAATGTCTCTGTTAATAGAAAGTGAAATGATGAAGAAAATTCCCAATGAGCTGCTGATTATGCAACTTCAGTTAATGAACAATGTTTCTGCCAACACCTGATTTCTCTTGGATTTGTTGGTTATTGATTATTTAAAGAAATCTGATTTAAAATTTAAATAAACATTGAAATAGCCTTTTTTTTATCTTTTGTTCATACAAACTACACATAATGACTCATAATGACCCCATGTCCAACATAGAAGAGTAAAAAATTGTGAGTGTCTATCACAAACATTAAATCATCCATCATAATACATAAAAATTAGATAGATTAAAAAAAACTTTATTGATTTAAATAACACCACAGTGTTAATCAACCTTATATCCACATATTTAATGATCAATACAAAGCCTTTAATAATGACTGCAATAATCCCTGATTGTTTTTGTGATAGTATGATGTCGTCTACTAGACATGAAAAACTAAATTCTTCTAAAGTGGAGGGAAGTTCCAAAATTGGATTGTTTAAAAATATAAATTTACACCAATTATGTATATGCCCAGTTTGAACAGAGATGAACAAGTGGGAAAAAATGGCACCTGTAGCTGGGTTAGCCACTGTCTGGTTGTTGTGCATTGTGTAGTGCCAGTACCTGCCTTCGCCAGTGTTGTATTTGGTTGACTTTAAATTCTGTAAATAAAAACTTTAAATACATACTTTACACTACACTAAAAGGCAGAGTGTAAAGTAGTGTAAGGTAGTGTTAGTTGCTTCTCAGATTAAGTTTTAACATGGAAAACATGTGATTAGTTTTTAAAATATGATGCATTGTTACAGATTAATATACCCGACATTATTACAAAGCTGTTAGAATTATCTACCCAGACCAACTTCAACATTAAAGTACTGCTTACATGTTAGTAATAAAGGTTCAATAATATTGATAAACATATTCCGCCGCTGATTCAATACGGCAAAAATCAGTTCATTTGACAAGAAATGCAGTAATCAGATATAAAGTTTACAATAGTAGTAGTTTTGTTAATTCTTTCTGCCCACTACTTATTTATGTAAACTGTATGAACGGTAGGTCTCTTCGCTCTAATAAAGCAGTAAACAGGTAACCAGTAAAACAAGGAGGAATTTGTAATTACAGTTGAGTATAATCCCACCTGCTTTATTACAGGACTGGAGCTCATCTGTGGGGAGAGAGAGAGAGAGAGAGAGAGATTTTTATTTCATTACCTTGCATGAGGATAGAAACAACTGTAGTGGACGTAAAGTTGCATGGTGTAATTTGGATAAGAGAGCAGTAGACATTGCTTTGCGTGTTTCCAAATCCTCTACATGTGCAAATGTGCAGATGTGTGGTGTGAGTGACTAATGAGCTCAGTGGAGAGGTGTATGAGTATTGTTCACCCTGTGTGTGATCAGTGTTCAGTGAAGTGATGACTGACCCTCCTCTCCTCCCACTCAGACCTCCAGCCCTGTGGTGAAGCGGAGGGGGAGCAAGCCTGGATACGAATCTCCTCCACAGGCTAAACAAGGCAAAACGCCTCCCTGGCAGAGCCTGACGCAATGCCTCCTACCACAGAAAACTATAGAGTGTGCGTGTTGACTTTTGTGTGTGTGTGTGTGTTTGTGTGTGTGTGTGTGTGTGTGTCTGTGTGAGAGAGACGGACATAGATAGAGAGATAGAGTGGTGGAGAGATTGTTGGTGCGTGTCTAACCTGAGACTCTCTGTACATTTGGTAATAATTTGTTCCAGAGACGACACTCTTGAGCTCTCATCATCGTCTTGTGTTCCGGAGGGTTGTAGTTCAGAGTAACATAGTCCTGCTTCTCAGGGGTGAAAACGGGCCAGTTAGCTCCATCAATCCCTGGATTCCTGACAAAAACAAAAGCCAATCAAGACATTTCAGCCGTGTCATGAGAGGTCCTCAGACTGTTTGAGAGACTGATTGACTGTGTGATTATGCGTACCCTGTTCGGGCAAAGTTGGCCAGGTGTTTCATGATCTTCTTAGTCATGTTCACTTCATTCTTCGTGTATCCTAGGGATGCATTTAGAGGCATCCCAAAGACAAATTCAATCTCATAGCCGTGCATAACACCCATCCATCCTGGCCATGGATTGACGGAGGACCGGTGGTCAAATAAATATAGGAATGTCTTACCCCCTCCTTGTGAGTACCTGGAAAAGAAATGGACAATATTGAGCTATTTTTGTACTTCTCTAGGTCGGGTGAATTAGAGAAAATAAAAGACAAACATGCTGCATGTGCTGGAACAATCACAAGAAATGAGCAAATCACTGACTGTGTGCCAAGCAGCACAAGTTGAACCAAGAAAAGCAGCCTCAACTTGTGCTGCAGCACAGCACAGTATATTAACCAGCAAGGCACTGCATTGACCTGTCGAATAACTGCAAGTGCAATTTTCCCCGTACATCACTGAGATTATTTTACTATTTAAGGTGAACTTCTTATTTCTACTGTTTACATTGAGCTCCTTATGACAAGCTATAAAATGACTGCCAGAGTGATAACTTTTCAGAGTTGTAACATTCTATTTCATCATAATATAAACCGCTGTGCAGAGTTGTTGGATGTGCGGTGAGTGTGAAAACTAAGCTTTATAGGAAATTATGAATAAAATGTCCCAATGAGCATTAATATGCAATGAGCAGGTTGGTACAAACTCTTCAGAGAGGTCAGAGTTCACCATCCTGATGGCATGAGGAAAGAAGCTTTTTCTTCTGTCTCTCTGTGTTGCACTTGCGGCAATAGAAGCATTTGATGGAATGCATCATTTGGATCACTTCAGCGCTGATTTCGTACATTCCTACATTTTGTGGCAACAGGTGCGAAGAGGCGAGATCAAGATATAGTTGCTAATGATGTACAATGTACTCAACAGTGTAGGTGTGAAGTAATCAGTAATGATCTCAGCGGCTATTCTCTTTCATGATTTACATTCATTTCGTGGCCTGTTCAAATGTGCGCAGTGAGATGGACATTTTTGGCTGGGACTAGATGAGACATGTGGATGAGGAAACGAGGAGAGCAGCAAGACGAAATGAAGTCAGCACTGCAGTCCCCAGACTTCATAAAGAAACTGTGACTCATTATTGCCCCTGCCCCGAGCGCTGCACCAGAGTTATTATTCTATTGTATTTTTCATTAGTTTTTATTTCTATTTCTATTTCGTTTTTAATTTTTGTTTAGTTTCAGTTCGTTTCCAGAGCGGGTTTGCTCGTTTCAGTTTAGTCTTTATTGTTTACTTTTACTTGTTGAATGTAAACTGGTATGTGTAGTGTTTCGTTTTTAATAGTAATTCTCAATTAACATATGCACCAATGCTGCATCATGCTTGTTGTGTTGTTGTTCTTTATTAGTGCCTGCTTACTATGACAGCCTAAACTTTTAATACTGCCCGCCTTTAATATGAGGCTTCTTGTTACTGGTGTGGAAACATGCATACCAGTCTGTCCTAATTTGTGCTGATGAACATAGGCGTTTACGTTTAAAAAATGTGTTCATGACAGCGTTACATTTATGTAGTGTTATTGGTGCAAATTTGCAATATTGGTCTTTGTTCGTGTCGGTTGTCTATTTGAATTGCCTCCTGGATCATTTCTGACTTTTAGTTTGTGGAAACAAGAAGAAATTGAGCAACTGAGACTTTAATTTCAGTCTTTATGCTAATGCTATAACTCCTCCTCGGAACAATTATCATTGTCTGTGATTAATGAAGCAAAATACTTGATATTCGTCATGATTCACATATTCACATAATAAGATCCATATCCATCCATCCATTTTCTAGCTGCTTATCCAGATTAGATTCATGATGGGGAAAAAGGGAAAGCAGAGCAGCCTAGATAACTTTTGCTGCTAGAATCCCCAGGTGCTCACATATCAGCTGGGAGAGTCACTCCAGCCTGTGCGCGTGTGTGTGTGTGTGTGTGTGTGTGTGTGTGTGTGTGTGTATATGTTGTATGCATGTTCCCCACCAATCAAGTTTTCTAATTAAACTGAAAATTCTGTCTCCTGTATACAAGCCAGAAACCCTCTGATGCAGCCCTTCGTAGTTCCTCTTTAACACAGGGTTGTTTTTAGTCTGAATACCACGTAACAACCAGATAAGAAAAAAAAATTATCTTTTCCCTGAATATTTTCTACTAGAGCACAAAACCTTCCTTCTCAATCCACTTCTGGAATTTTCTTTGGGGTCATTCCTTATAGCTACAAATCGGACCACATCATTAATATGCAGAATTTTCCTTTACCTTTGAGCGAACTCTATCACAGGACAAACGAAATGCTGGTCTCCAACCACACTACCCAGAAAATCGCGGTTTCTCATCTTGTTTTCCTCATCTGTCCAATCAGTGTACTGGAAAATGGCCGCCTCCCTTGTGATGTTACTTTTTTCTTCCATTATAAGGTCTACTCCTTTAAGGAACTGCTCTCTGGTAATGAGACTCTGACCACTGAGGTTATATCCAGGCACTCCATAAATTAGGAAGTAGGTCCCTTCGTCCTTGTTTAAGCCAAGCAGCACCTCTTTCTTTGGGAGCTTACCGCTACTCAGCAACACCTGGAGGGAAAAAAAAGATAATTTGGTGTTTATGATACAGGATGTTGTACAAGATTTAAATAAAGCTGATACTCCAATGTTAACATGGGACTGCAACATTTTTGTCTTGGGCTGCTGTAAGTACCCAGTGAGCAACTAGGCTACAGTTGGTTGAAGTTTAAGTTTGTTTGACTTCCTCTACTTCAGGTTACAAATATTATGTCATCTGAATTTCAGTGTATTTTTCCATGTGTGGCAGCTGGAAATATAGGGATTAAAATGCTGTTGTAACAGCGGGTGATCAAACTACATATAGACAGTTAAGAATTCATCTTTTGGACAATGTTAGTTTTATCTTTGATGCCTTCATGTTGTTTTGCCTTCACACCACTAAAACTGCACATCCCTCTAAACTGAGCAACTGGGTTTTGCTTCCTCAGAGATAAGATAGTGAAAATGTACAAACACATACACCTACTTCAGGTTTATCTGGTAGGAAGTCCCCATCAACAACAGGGACAAAGAGTACGCCTAAGATTGAAGGCTGTGCGGGAGCATTATATTGCTTTTGTGTGATTTCGTCAGGATCAGCCTTCTGCAGACAAGCTTCCAGTTGACCTGGAGGAGACGTGGGACACTTCAGTGATGATGCCAGCCTCAGGGCCCTGGATATTGACAAAGAAAGGGAGCAAGCCAATCAGTAAAAGAAGGGATAAAGAGGAATGTGAGAGAGGATAGGACAAGAGGGTACAAAAGAGAGGTGATTGTGGATGATATACTAAATTTCATGGCGATACATCCATTAGTTGGGAAGACATTTCACTTCAAATAAAACAAATGTCAGCCTCATAGTGGCTCTAGAGCAATCATTTCAGGGGATTGCCAAGATCATAAGGATACATTATTTGGGAACCATGATGTCTGCACAAAAAATATGTGCCAATCCACATAGTAGACGGAGAGATGCGTATATCTCAGGATAAGTGGAAACTTTGGCCTGCTGGTGGCAGTGAAGCAGAACTCTTCAGGATTCAAAGTCAGGGCACCTCAAATGTCTGTACATAATTTCTTTGCAATCCATCTAACAGTAGTTAAGACATTTCACTGAACTGAACTGGTGGTGCTACACACAAAGTCAAGGCATCATCAAAGTCATTCGGATTCACCCCTGGGGGCATCGAATGTTTCATGGCAAAATTTCATGGCGGTGAAGCGCCAGACTAACGTATATTACGTATAAGTAAAGACTCACAATGAAACATACATGTATATACACAGTACCTGTCCCAGGACTCAGTTTGGCTGAGTGTGCCCCAGGGTGCATTGGGAGAGCCACTCTCCATCACAGCCCTGTGAAAAAGACCATGGCTACCTGGAGACAGCAGGTGGAAGCCCACAGATCCTGAGCCAGCACTCTCCCCAAACAGAGTCACCTGGACACAACAGCAAATCAAAACCCCACAGCTTGTTTTATTCTTTGTTTAAACAATAAAAAAAATAATAATTTAGATAATGGAAATCCTGATTTTAGATAGGGAAAAAAAAAGTTACCTTGGAAGGATCACCTCCAAAAGCAGCAATATTATTGGCCACCCACTGGAGGGCTAAGCGCTGGTCCAGCAGACCCGCATTGCCTCGGATGTCCTTGTTGTCAGGAAGAGACAGGAAACCAAAAGCTCCAACTCTGTCATTGATAATCAGAAGAATGAGGAAACATGTTCAAAACATTTAACTGAGGATAAATGACACATTCTCTTACAATCATAGATTCAATGGTAATCTAAATAAGTACAAAGAAGGTTATTGAATACAGTATAGTAGTATAGGACTTTACTATTTACAAATGTCTTAGCAAAGCTTTCAAACCAACTGGCATTTTTTGTCGAGCAGGCGAGAATCCAGTGTCACACTTCAGGCTAGGCTGCGTTTCCATTTACCTACAGTAACTATAATGACTCATTGACAGTATTTCACATTTTCAGCTTACATCAGATCTTACCTGTAATTCATTGACACTACAACAACACCCTCAGATTTACTCAGGAAGCGGCCGTCATAAATGTCCAAAGAGGACGTTCCTGCAGTGAACGCCCCTCCGTAGATCCAGACGAGGACAGGAGCCAGTGGTGCGGGCTGAGGCTGGGTTTTATTGAAATGTGGGGACCAGACGTTCAGGTAGAGACAGTCCTCACTCAGAGGAGTGTTTGGGTTCCACATCTCTGCACCTTTGAACCCTGGCAAGAATAATCATATTAATCACTGTCAAGAGAGATTGATAGACTGCATTCACACAACAGATAAAAACTCTTATCTATGTTCCTCTATATCTTTTATTACACACAATATTTTGAGATTTGACATTAGCTAAAATAACAGTATGTAGCCACAGCTCTCAAACAGTTACAGAAACAGTAAATAGATCTACTAATTCCTGTTTTGTTTTGTTTTCTTTCTTTTTGATGTGTGCTGCTTTATCCCAAGCAGAAACAGACATCATTGCCTGCTTTCCATATCTATTTGTGTTGTCATATCTATTTTTAGAGTATGTTTTGGGCGTTTTTCTCTGTACACATGCCTGTCACTGGTCGTAGCTGGCCTTCCAGCTACCCCTGACAGGTGGCTGTGTCTGTAAATAGCTATGTATCCATGACCCAGCTCCAATTCAGTCTGTGCATGTCTGCTTATGAATGTGTTCAAGAAAGCACGTCTTTGTTTGCTTAACTGATAACTGATAAAATGGCTCCAAACACTTGGATTGTTTCCCAAGATTTATTACCATCTCAAGTACAATAATAAACCATTCACTCACACATCAGGTTTAGGGTGTGGCTGTGAGTATATGTGTGTTATGGTCTCATATAACTGCCAGCCCCCACAGAAATGCCTACTTGGAAGTAGTACAGTGGCCTTTTAAAGTCATCTTTCATTCAAGCATGTACTTGTACCCTTTTTACGCCAAAAATAGCCGGTATAAGCAGGTGTTTTGAACACGGGTCAACCCGCAAATAAAGGCGATTGACTCCTTTTACACTGCCAGCTGAGTTTGCCTGAGAGGACACACACAAGTGCAGGGACCAGTGTCATCACATGCAATTACAGAGCACACACACACACACACACACACACAGACACAGACGGTGGGGGAGAAAGAGTGAGCTGCTAGCTGTAGTGCAGACTGGTAAAACAGATCTGTAGCATCTCCCCAGGGTTGGTGCTCCTGTACGTGTCAGAGCCACCGTGTGACAAGCTTTGAACAGTGATTTTGTGTTTTTGAAACATTTTTTGGGGCTCCAGCTCACTCTTTCATCCCCGTACCATGTAGCAGCAGTGTTTCTGGCGTAACAGCACCGTGCTGGGCAGGTGTCAGGTCTGTTTGCAGTGTTTGTGCTCTGAAAGACGTAACAGCTCGGAAAAGGGGCGAAAATTAGCATGTTCACTCAGGTGTTGTGTTTGCATCAATTACGATCAGAGCCGGAGCCGATAAATACCCTTGTCTACTGCAGAGTCATTTGACCCGGGAGTGAATGCTGACTGTACCCTTTTCCATTGCAGACAAAAGCCTGATGTTTGCAAGTCTTAGCAGGTTTTTTTGGAAAAGTGGTGTCTGGTGTCTTCTCAGACTTTGGTTATCCAAGCAGACACACTACTAAACCAGATTCAACTCCATCTCATTCAGCAAAGTTTCAACTTAAATGATCCGTCCATTAAATCTGCACCTGAAGATCAGTTTACTAGTCATGTTTAGTAACGCTCAGCCAATGTTTTATGGGAAGTGTAAGATTTGGGAAATATAAGGTTTCAGAACTAGAAATATTCTAAAAGTTCAAGACTAAATCTTGACATTTGTTGCATCGACTCTGATAATTATTTATTGTCTATTGTGAACACCCCAATTTTAAGGCATTTCAAATTCTGACTGGAATGATTATCTTATCACATTCCATTAGCTCATTCTGAGAGTTCAACACATGTCCAATAAAATTCTGATGGCCTTCTGAATAGTTCAGTGTTCAAGCTGTCCTTTGGGTCTTGGGGCCTCTGTATAACCTTGGGTGTCGTCAAGTACTGGATTTTTCAAATATTGAGCCACCTTTTGGCACAAGACCCACTTGAATAATTGACAGTACACAGTATACGTGGGAGTGCATCTGTATGTATGTACACAGTGGTAAACATTACACGTATGCATTGTGTCCATCCATGTAAACATGTATCCTACCTGGAAAGGCCTTATCTGGCAACTGGAAGCAGGAATTTGGGAATCTGGTGGCGTCTCTCACCCCGTCCCATCTCTCTGCTGGCTCTGGAGCTCTGAATCTCAGTTTTCCCAGAGGTGGTTTTCCATAAGGAACTCCGAGAAATGCTCTAACATTACCGCCCAGCACTGAAACCAACTTCCCTTGAACTTTACCGTGCTTCGTAGTGATTACGAGGTCATCTTGAGTGACAGGTGATGCACTCAGGACATGAAGCAACAGAAGGAGAATGGTGAAGTGTGTAGATGGAGAGACTGTCGCCATGGAAAATCCTGGGTAGAGAAAGCATGCGCACACAAACACTTTATTATTATTATTATTTACGTGTTTAAATGAAGCTTGTTAGATTGAAACATTTTATTAGATAATTACCAGTAATGTAACTGATTATCCAGCACAGCACACATGGTCTTACACATGGAAAACACTGGCTTTGTGTTTTCAAGCTTTTACAATACAGCACTGTGGATGCTGACACCTTCAATTTCCTTCAATTACAAAGAACTTATTGGCTTATACTTTTACGTTTCGTTGTATTTCTATGCTGTACTTTCTATGTATGCCTTTTGGTGTATCTTTTATTTCAGTAAAGGATTTCATTGCTTTCATAACCACTAACATAACCCAGGTCAGTATAGGGTGGTATCTAAAAAAAAAAAAAAAAAAATTTATGTTGTCTTCTTCTTCTGCCACCACTCTGTCCACCATTTCTATCTAACTATAAGTAATATGCTTTATTTAATATGTATCACCCCAAATACGGATTACATGAACATCACAGTTTCCTTCAACATTTACTACAAATATATGACAGTGTACATGTCCTGTGTTTAGGGTTCATGGAACTGGGTTCAAGGATCAGGGACCAGGATTAAATGGTTGGATTAATTATGCCTTGTGCAGTAAAAATAACTTTTACTGTACAAGACATAATTAGACTCAGGACCATTCAGGCATTCACTTGTGGAAAACTTACTGTACTTTACTTGCGCGATGCAATGAATAATTTGGCAGGTTGATTTACTACATTCAACCCACACCTTTAGCAAAGCAAATTGTGTATCAAATTTACATACTACTACAGCAGAGTGGCACGTGTGTGTGTGTGTGTGTGTGTGTGTGTGTGTGTGTGTGTGTGTGTGTGTGAGTGTGAGAGAAAGAAAGAGTGAGGAGTGGGGGGTCATTCCCACTGCAAGTGTGTCGCGTTTTATTATAATCCTTAAATATTTGGAAACTTTAAGGCCGTTACCAATTCGACGTTGACTCGTGAAGCCGGTTTACTTTCAAAAAGACACAGACTAAACAAACAGCAGAGCTTCCAGAGTAAAAGCCGCGCACAGCTGGATCTTAAGGAGACGCACGCACCTACAGATTCATACCAGCGACTTAAAAAAAAAAAACAAAAAAAACAAAAAAAAAAACAGTTATTGATGGTGAAATTTCCAGGATAACTTTATAAAAAATAAAATAAAATAAAGGTTTATTGACGTCTTACCTTACCAGTTGTGCCGTTTGTGTCTGTCTGGGGTGAGCGCGGACGCAGCAGTGATTGGGTGAAGAAGGCGTGGACTCGGAATCCCTCTGTCCTGGGCTAGCCCTGTCCGCCACCCACAGTTTCTGTTGCTACCACTGCAATGTGATATCAGCACTGTATTAATAAGTTATAGGCTAATCAAGAGAAAACACTATAGACAGGTAATTTGACCGGCAATGTTTTTCTTTTAATAAAGAAGAGTACCAGTGCAGCAAAATGTAGTTAAAGTAAAAGTCCTGGAGAAAATACCCCTTGGACCTGTAATATTATTGTAGTTGCATTACTTTTTTAGATTATTAGTACAGATCAGTTGCAACAGTATTGTACTGTAGCATAGGTTGAGGTGGAACTAGTTAAGTAGTTAAATTTAAGGGGTCATGATATGATTAATGGGGGAGGACACAAATTTGTGTTCATTTTTCAGACCTGTTTTTAGTCTTTGCTTCTTTTTTTTCCTTCTACTCTCTTCGGGCCCCAAACAGTTATTTAAATGTCACCACTGGAGCAGTTGTTATTGAGAGCTTTTTTAGTCTTTTTAACATAATTATGCACACATTTACCAAGGGAAACAAAAAAGACAACACTTTATTACAAAACAAGAGCAACAGCCACAAAAAAGGATAAAGTACAAGATTGTTTTTTTTTTTTTTTCCAGCAAGTCCATGTATTCCTCCAGTCATGCATCCTTAGAAAAGTCAGGCCAGTATCCAGAGTCGGTCAGCAGTTACTCCAACACAGTTGTTCTGTCCTTTTGTCCAGCAAGCATGATATGGGTCATACAGGAAATTTAACATAAAAAATTGAATTTGAACTTTGATTGCCACAATTGTTCCAGCATAAATCTTGGTTTTTGTTTTCTGTGGCGGAAATTTGTATAATTTCCTGCTGAGAAATAAACGTATTAGACTTCGCCAAGCTTTAAGTATTTTATTACAGAAAAATTATGAACAGATTACATAAAAATTACACAAGCCAATGAACAGAGTCAGAGAGGGACAGAATTCTTTCACCAAAGCGGGTTCAAGAAGTCTGACAATTCCTCTGATGTTGAGCACAGCTTTTATACATCAGTTTCATATGGGCTGATGGTCGATAGTCACATAGGCATCAATCTATTGTTTGCAAAGAGCCAAACCTTGTCCCTCCTGGTTCCGAGGCCGTAGGGGTCCACGTTTGACTAGCCAGTTCGCTTAGGGACATCAGCTCATTCTAGACGAATAACATGTTTATAGAGCAAAGAACAGTAATGGCACAGAGAAATGATTAGTTCAGATTATTAAGTTCAAATTTCTTTTACATTTTGGTGTGCAGGTGTAATATATGCTCTGCTTAGGATCTTGTATTGCGTAATTCCGAAACTCAAACATTTAGAAGAGCTCCAAGCCGACCTCCAGCTTGTGCTCCACTGAGAAGCAGACAAGGTCCCAAGCCAGCCAGACAAATAAGTATGCATTCTGTCGTCTTTCGTATCATAACGATAATCTAAGCTTTGGAGCTCCAGTATTTGGCTCAAGTAACTCTGAAAAATAAGATGCGGTATCCAGCTACAACATATATTACAATGTGTCAGATATGTATTTAAACAATACTTGGTAAATACATTACTAGGGGACCAGACTATCCCAGTTTTTAGGGTACTCTGATCAGAATCAGGGCCAAACACCTGGATTGCGACTTCCCCACTTCGGACAATAGCCGATGCCACAGTCAGTACTGCTCACATGCAATATTTTATATTATAAACATACTTGGACTGAAAACAATGTGTGGAAATATTATGAGTGGGCTGACCCCGAGCAACCTCTATGGAAATCCAGGCTTAGTGATCGTCATATACTATTTTCTTTGGTGACTTCTATGGAAGCAGAAGATGATTTGGCACGATAACACAGTCTAGTGTAGTCATTGTACCGCTTCCTGTTTTTACTCCTTGCTTATTTCTTACACATCTGTGTGCTTATTCTATCTGTGGCTTTTTATTTTTTTATTTTTTTTCTTTCCTTTTCTTTCCTTTACCACTTATCCGGAGGCCAAAGCTTGAGAGAAAATTAAACTTTTCTTTGGAATTTTTTGGGCTGTGTGAGTAGGGCTCTCTCGCTCTCTCTCTCTCTCTCGCTCTCTCTCCCTCTCCCTCTCTCTCTGTGTGTTTGGGGGTAAGTGTCTATCTGTAGCTATGTGTGTTCGTTTACGTGTGTGAGAAATTTGCTGTTTGAGTGCATGTGCATGTATGTGTGTGTTTGTGTGCATGTATTCATGTTATTTATAGTATGGTAATGTGCAATTGGATTAACTATAAACAAAGTCTTCCTGGGACTCTGATGCGGTGCCTTGGCACAACACAGAGACTGAGGCACACAGGCTTAAGTCTGCCTGATTAATATTATGTTCTCTATCATGGGTGTATGCTGCACATAGGCATAGACCATAAATGATTGCCTATAGCATTGAGGTCCAGGAATTAGCTTTACCCATATTTCACATACATTTTAACAAGAAAAATAACTGCAGTAATGCAAGATTTTAGCATGTGTGTGCTTTGGTGTGTGTTTGCACATGTTTGTATGTGTGCGTGCTGATGACAACTATATCTAATGAAACAAAGCCAGCCATAGCAATCTACTGAAGTGCAAACTTGGAATGCATTTGTTGTAGTAATAAAGCTGAACCAAATTTTCATACTGATGCTTCTCTATTTACTTTTCAGGCATCAGTGGTAGCTTACAGGTAAACTATGTTGTTGTATTAAATATTGCTGGAATACAGCAGAAATTCAACAGGTATGAAGATGGCACTGATATTACAGCAAAACATCATGGAACTATAGCTCTTGTATCTCAAACAAAACAAGAAAAAACAGTGCTACTTAATGTCTTCATGTGATGGATTCTCCTTCCATGACTTACTTCAGTTCAGCCCTATAAATACATGTTGCTATAAAATGCTTATTAAAACTGTAGGAGGGAATGCTATATTTATGATATAGTTAAAACTGTGATATTGTAAAATTTATCCTGAAAAGTAGTGTAGTTTCAAAAGGAATTTTACTATTGTGATTTTTTTTATTAATTATTGGTTCAGTTTTGCTCTAAAATCAAACTATACTTGGAATGAAATCTCCATTCCCAGGCAACAGTGACACAGAGTAACACATTTCCCTAAATGATTAACTTAAAAAAAAAACAGGAAAAGATTCAACCCCATTCCCTATGCAAGAACCTGTTTTCCTTTGTTGTCTCACTTCCTGTCGTTCTTCATCTTTCTTCTCCGTCTCTCCATCTTGCAACACGGCAGCCAGCTGTAACAGTGGCCATCAACCCAAGAGAGAGGAAGCCGTGGGTGGGCTGACTCTTTATAGACGTGTACAGCTCAGCAGGAGGGTTGGACAGATGCACAGACAGAGGTGGGAAGAGAGGAAGAGAGACTGAGAGAGAGAGAGAGAGAGAAGAGAAGCAAACAGGTTGTTTGAGGAGCGAGACAGCACAGTCTTTGCTGTAACCACACACCATCAGGGATTAGGCGGTTAAAGGGAGAAATGACAGGGATTTGATAGGAACCTTTGAGAGAATGTTTTCTCTCTCTCATTCCAAAATAGGCTTGGGACTGGAATGCAACCCCCCAAACACACAAACACAGACACTCAGACAAGTTAATTCCACCCATGCCCTTTTAATGTCAATCTGCTGTTATGAAGGCAGGGATAAGCAGTAAAAAAAAAAAAAAGAAAAAAAAAAAGAAAAAAAAACATTTAATTCATTTCTTGTCCAGGAGCTTGGAGCAATGAGATAGTAAATATCCAATCATGGTGTCACAGAGAAGGATATTGGTTTATGTCATGCTCTGTCTGTCTCTATTTTATTTGAACGTGCGTTTGTGTGTGGAGTGAGTATCCATATGTGTATGCAATTATTTGCAGTTAGAACTTTTAAAAAGGTACTTAAATCTTGTATTTGAGTGTCAAAGAGTTATCTATACACACACACACACACACACACAGATACATAATATTGATACACTGTAAATTTCATAAAGTGCCATTCAGTTTAGTTTAAAAACTATGAGCAAATCACACCAAACCTTGAGTAGCTGTGAAACCAAGGAAATGTAAATTTCTTTTCTTTTTTTTTTTTTTTGGTATTTATCAAGACAGACGTCTTGATTAGCAGTGATACTAACAATAGTGGGAAACAGCAAATCTACTCTTTAAAGAATGGCTAAACTGGACTTCTGTGACTTCCTTAATCAGCACCACATCCTCTCTCTGATTTCAGACACAAAAATAGTCAGTTACAGCGCAGTGCATATCAGACATGACGCATGTACAGCTACATGTGAATGCACACGCACACACGCATCAGATTAACCAGTGAAGCGTCTGGCTTCCGTTAACCTTCACAGGTAATAGAGCGCCCAGCTTTCACTGACATGAGCTTCCCTAATTGGTAGAACAGAAATAGACGGAGAACAGAGACAGAGCTGGTGAGCCTGGGTCGGGGGATGTTACTTAAAAGCTGGTGAACTGAGAAAAAGAACGAGGAGGGTAATCGATGTGAGACAGCTGGTTAACAGGTTGCAGAACATACCACTCAGACTAGATAACTCAGTAAATGAAGTGTGGAATGGAGACTGACAAGGTCGAATGAGACAGAGTGAGACTAACAGTGAATCCACATTTCCACCTACCTTTTTGCAGTCCCCTCTGTTTGACCTACAAGTACAGTTGGAAGGGACGTCAGATGCAGTGCAGTGGCTGGGCCCAGCATATGAGTAAGAAAGGTTCTAGACATGATCCTGTCTAGGGACAGTTAGGCAAGGTGCGAACTTGAGTTTGTCCATCTGACCTAAGCTGTGATCTCTACTTGGAGTCTTGAACAAGTTCCTAGCCGTGGAAATCTTCTTGACCGTGACTAGCTTGACCTTTTCCTGCATTTTTTTTTTTCCAGGAAGTGTAAACAGAACACATTAGTATAGGTTAGGAAATGTTTAGGATTTGATTATTATTTAGTCTTGTATTACTGTATTTTAAAATTTCCATTTATTTAC